TCCTGTCACTGTCGCCATATAAAAGGTATTTTATTCAATTCATATGTATTTAATTATATTTAAGGGTATTATTAAAAAAAAGTTTAAAAGAAGTATGACGTCACTTGTAGACATATCTTTATTCAATTTAATTGGCATATATATAACAATGTACTTAAAGCTAAGGCCGCGCAACTGCGCTGCCGGGAACGCCGACAGAGGAGAGGCCGCATTTATGTATTTCTTAAATATAAATATGCTCCTCGCTGCTGACAGGGGCTAGCCGAGAGAGGTTGTATGTACTGAATGTGTATGTGCAGTCAAGGCATGGGGATCCGCTGACTTATGTACTTATGGTCTTCAAGGCAGAGCTCGGATGATCGTGTTTCGGTCAGGTCGAACCATGCCTTGTGTTCGGTTACAGTGCATATGCCTTAAGTACTCTTGGTACAGTGGTTATTGGTTATATGTGTACATACTACACTTCTCAAAAAAGGTTAGACTATTTGGAATATTAGAAACTTATGCGGAAACTTGTGGTGACCATGAGGCAAAGCACAAGGGGAGGTGCTTGGCCATAAAAGAGGATCATTAACTGTGGTTCTAACCATAGTGCGTCCTCCCGCCGATGTCATGCCTATTTAGATGCTATTAAAAAACGCAAGCCCAATGGCTCTTTAAAGCGTAGACCTAATCAAAAGCTTACTCAAAATGCTTTGTTCACTTCACGTCTTAAGTTCACATCAAAGTGAAAAGACCTCTTTGATTGAACAACCTGCTCAGGACAGGCTTCTATAATTTATTAACGGATTAAGGAAGCACCAAGGCAAGGATGCTGCGATAGCCCAAGCGGCTGCAAATTGATAAGTTGTCGTTACGTTTTGATTAAATGATGACGACAACACTACAAATGTTACAGAGCGTAATGTCTAAGAACGCCACTTCATTAGGGTCAACGCATGGCGATTAACTGACTAATTATGGTATAAATATCGTTATTGTGAACGCCAACAACTTAGTTGGCAAATCTCTCGAGATTGAGCAGCAAGGGAACGCAAAATTGACAGCCATTCCTTTTTTTATATTTATGGATATGCTGGACACTCTGCCAACCCCCTGATGATCGACATCGTGGTAGTGGTGCTGTCATCGTCAAATCCTCTTCAGATTATCACCTAAGCGTCACAATATCGGTGCCACACTTGCAAGCAGTTGCCATAAGTTTGGTCACAGGGTTTGACAGAATTTTTTTTTCCTGTCTTTTGACCCCCTGGTCACCACCTTTCTTGGTTGGCTGAGAAATATCTGCGCCTTTTTGGCTCTGTATGTAGCAACTTCCCTATTGGAGGGGATTGGAATGCGCACCAAATGCCACATTTGCTCTCCGCTGTGGCCGTTCGCGTAGCCTCTACAAGCACGAAGAAAAGGCTAAGTAGCTCTGAGTTACTTTTGAGCGTCGCCTTTATTGAAAGGGACAAATTGATCGAATCTATGGGTCAGGGATGAAAATGGCCTGGCTCCTTTGTACAGATAGCGGCCTTTCCCTTTAGGGCAAGGTGCGTCTCTTTAAGGTCATTGTCCCTACGACATTAAACTAGAGATTCCCTTGCTGGGGTCAGACCTGATTCGTCACTAAAAAGAGTGCAAACTAATGCACAAAGGCTATCAGGAGGATGCTGGGGGTAAAGTGGCACCAATATGTGGAAAATCAAGTTATGTTCCAGGATACGATTGACAAATCGGTACCGGAAACGTTTGCTTACACATAAAAACTGTCTAACAAGACAGTCTCCGCAGACGACACCCCGCCGAACTATGATTAAAGCATTTTGTTACAGCACATGAGGGTTGCTCATTGATAGTGGTCGGCTTTAAAGTTAAATAGTATAGAAGAATGATCACCACTCCCATTCATCCGCGGATCTCATGTATTGTTGTAGATTTACTTCGACACCACTGGATCGACGGCGTCCGCGTAGACGACACCCGGCAGACGTATGGATTCTCTGCCGTGACAAACACTTCCTCCTTTAACCTGATTAACTTATGACCACACCTTATTTGCTCAAAAATGGAGCATCCGCTACTCGTTTTTTTGGGATCTTGTGAATAAATTTGACAATACACGAAAACAAGGTCCATTCTTATGTGGCGTGTTCAACAAAGCATTGAAAAAATTGAGTTCCCAAGCTTCTGAACTGTACTCTGGGATTGAACGGACTAATAAAATGAACTAAAGCTTTGTGATATAAGCTCTCCTCTGTCTTTATTCACCATGGAAGTAAGAAGGACGCCGAGGGCATTATCATACATGATTTTTACACTTAACCACTTTTCGTATACGCAGCTTACAGTGGGCTGACTTGTAGATTGGTATTTTTACTTTTCCATGGTATTTTGTGCTTCTATGTAAATGTCCCATACCAACTTCTGTTTCATCACCCGCTGGTATGTGGCAACATTTGGAATAAAGGTATATACCAAATATAATTGGGACAAAAAAATTACAATCATAAATCATTAACCAAGTCTTTAGAGTGTGTCGTCAAACTTTGAATCTCAGATTTTACACAATTTTTCTGATCTTTGAAAAATAAGTTAAATATTCAGTGGAAACAATTTTAATATATTTTATTAGATTTCTTATAGTATAAAATACAATTGATGAGTCATTATATACTACTTTGTTTCTCTAACTTTAAAAATGTCATGAACACACATAGCACGTTTTAAAAATTATGTTTTGACTTCTATTATAAATAAAACAAAAACAAAAACGACCAAGGTGCCATTCATCTTGAACGGATCACTTGTGATTAAGTCCCTTAAAATAGTTATTGTTGTATCCTACCTCATAAAATCCATTTTAAAAAATCCCATGGAATCCCAAATTAGTCAAACTTCAGTACAGGAAACGAGTGGTTTACCTCTTCACTATTGAGAAATACAACATATAAGAAAAGTGGCACAAGTTGTAACAGATATGGTTGTCAATTTGCCTTATTGAGGTCTAAAAAAGAGTCTGTCTACATGAACCAGCTGTCGGGACTTAGACCCAGACCCAATTCAAAACTTATCACTTGCACGTATGACTACGTCGATTAATGAAGAAAACTGCTGACATCAATCTCCCAAACTTTTCTGCTTATCCCAAACATGAGCTCTGAAAACAGAAACACTTCATAAGTAGAAAGAGCGGTAAAATTAGTGAAGAATACAGTCTGTTTCAAGCAACAGTCAAAACCAATATGTGGGGAAATCAGCGTTATGAAGGCGCTGAACGAATGGAAACACTCATTTTGAAACATTTTCGTCGACTGCCACAAAAAAAAACAATTTTTATTGAAACTGAACTGTTGTATATTCTCATACACATCTGCAGCAGCATTTTAACTTTTAACTCAGAAGACGAAAGTTCAAATTATTACCAAAACATGGAATAATGAACTTTTATATATATAAAGAAATTTTGTAAGTAAAAAGAGAAATGGGAAACAATTCAATAAGTGATGCTATAAAGGTTGTTAAAGCAGTAAATGCGGTGTAGAATTGAAGAGGCAAGATTTGTTATCTGGTCACCTGAGCGCAAAGCTCATCATTTATAAAAGTCATTTATAGTTGTCAAATAGACTTAATCAAAGCTATCCGAGCTACCAGGTGATTTATACCTTCTCAATACTATATGCGATGATAAGATTTTTAAAGCAGTATGTGCTATTTGCTGATGTTGCACAGAACAAAGTTCTGAATCGGTTGTCTGGTCATCTGATCGTAAAGCTGGCGGCCACGTCATTTATAACAAGAAAGAAAGCAGTTATTACAAAAAACAATGAAGCTATGTCGATTTTGGTCTGCATTTTGCCATCGTTTCTATAGCTGCTATATGATATTGCTGTCCGATTGTGACAAAACGGAAAGCGTAATTCTGATTGAGGGACTAAAACGTCTCCTTCACTGCGCTGCATTTTGCCTAAATAAAAGCGTAATTCTGATTTAGTAGATAATTACTATATCTCAAAGGAATAATTTGATAAAAAGAAAAACAGAAAAGTAAACATTTTTTTCATGTTTATTTTCTTAATTTTTCTTTTTGCTTATGTGAGCTATTATTTGGTTGCTCTTTAATTTGCATAGGAGTGCCTATTGTGGGAATGATCGTACAAAACCCGATATTAGTGAGTTAGTTAGTTATTTACAATTATTTTCGTTTGAAGAGCCGATTCGCAGCTCCATTATATTAAACAGTAGTTAGCAACCCGTGCATGTTTGAATAGATACTATGCTTACTCGAACCTAGAAAAGAATGACCACTGCACTCTAATAGAATACTGGATATGGACATTATAAAATTGCAAATCGAAAATCAGCTATTTACGAGAAATATATCGTCAAATAATTTCGAACGATGCTTGTTAATCGTTACTCGGATACTTGTTAAGTAAAATTGCATTTTAAGAAATCTTTAATATGGTAACGATAAGCGGCATATCTATTTTTCGATAATACAACTAATTTTACTGAAACTTCAAAATGGTGAAATCAAAAGAATTCAAGTGTCTCAAAAATGTCAAGTGTCTTCAAAAGGGTCAAGTGTCTTACTTTACCCAATTACTGTGATAATATTTTTGAATATTGTGAACTAATGAAAGTGACCTGGCACCCAATGACCAAGCACTCACCCAACACTGCAATTATCATAAGGTCGATCTGTATGATAATCTCTGAAGATTTAATAAATCTTATAAGCATTCCCTCTGGGACGCATAAATTAAAAAAAAACTTAATCTGATTTCCATGAAGGAGCACCATTGGAAAATTAGCCTTTAAGCTAAGCGAAACGGTCATGACTATTCGAACTGGATTGGTGATGTTTTATAGACTTTAAGATATTTATTTTTCCGCTGAAAGCCTTTTAGACGTAAAATAAGCCAACGTCCTTATGCGAGATCTTAAGTTGTATAACACGCCTCAGTTTTATTTATTTATTTTTTATTTTATTTTCAAAATAGGCGAATACTTACTTGAAATATATTGCACGACAATAAAACATTCTCTGGATCATACATGTGAATGTGGGATGTTGGTATTTTGTCAGACTTTAAAAATATTGTCATATTTTGTTTTGCCATACAATCTGCATTATTTTCCCCTTTTCCTGATGGTGAATATATAAAGTTACCGTCACTCGAAAGGTCGTGGGTATTAAAATAGTTCTCTGCAAATTCCAGAATATTGTAAAATGAATCGTCGTTGTGAATATCTCTATGACTATCCTCATTGCAGTTTAGTTCATATATTTTTTTTTCTACTCTTTGTTTTCGTCTTTGCTGACGTTCATCTTCCATTTGATAATTAACAAAAAAAGAAGAAGTGGATTTTTTGGTGTTTTCCTGAAGGATTTTCAATTTAAGTAGCGTTTTATTTTCTTCTGTTATTTCCTTTGTGTTCGTTAATTTGATTGCGTTAATTGCTTCATATATGGGCTCAGGTTTTAATTGCTTTGCTGATATAAAACCTATAGACGCAGGAGGTGGAGGCGGAGGTACTGTTGGCTCTGGGAGTGACGGAACGCCTTTGGAAGGAAATGACTTTCCTATTTCTTGATTTTCAAAATTTTCTCCGTTCTGCATACACAATTCAATCTAAAATTAAAAAAAGAACAAAAAATATTTTATTATTTATATTATCTCTTGGAAGTATACGAGTGTTCAGATTGTTTTCTTCTCAAACTTATTATACCGATTGATGAGTTTAATTAATACCTTGTGCTTCTTCAGGTAAATCGATATTTCTAAATGTCCATTCACTATTTCACTTTTATTTCTATTTTTCATACTTGCTGAATATGTTCTATTTTTTAAATGCGCTCGATATAATTTTGTTTCATTTGTTTTGGCTATTAATTCGTTTTCAAAAAACTGGTTCTGGTACTGTGGACGGGGTAGAAAACTATTTGGACTGTTTTGATTAGTTTTTATGAAGATTGTGATATTTTTTGTAGTTCGTTACTTCTATAATTTATCCAAAAGATATTTTTATATGTAGTATATTTTGGCTGTTGGCTCTTTCTAGTTTGTCATAGCTTAGTAATTTATGGTTGAAAAGTCCTAGTTGTGAATGTTGTACTCCCACCTCCAAGTCAATATACTCAAAAAATTGCAACAGATCGTAAATAAGTGTATGAACACCGTTTCTACTGTTCTCGTAGTTATTGATTCTCTGCAGTATATCATTAACAAACTGTATCACTTCGTTAAATTCATGGATCCTGACCCGCTGCTGCATCTAATTTGTTCCAAAAAGGCAAGGTTATTGAACCCAATTCTGTTAGAATACCCAGATTTCAGCAAAGAATTTTGCGTAAATACAGATGCAAGCGTGTGGAGTAGTTTTAACTCAAAACAAAAATGGACTCGAACTCCTAGTGACATCCGCATTAAGATAATTTGCAAAGGGTGTTTGGAAAAACTAATAATTTGCCAAAGCATTTTAATAATATAAATAATATAGAAGCATTTTATAATATAGAAGATTACGCTAAGGAAAGTAAATATAGATTGGAAGAAGCATCTAAAAGAGCTAGGATAATGTAAAGAGCATAAAAAAATTAGAAATTATGTTAAGAAAGTAAGAATTATAAATTTATCCTTGGGAGATAAAGTTTTACTAGCCAAGGAGTCAGGGCATACTATAAGTTAGACTTTAAATATACTGGTCCGTATACAGAAACAGAAATAGGAGAAACAAGCTGTTCATAAATATAGGTTACAAATTCTTATTTTCAATTCACTTTACTTTTCTTGTTCGAGTATGGCCATACATAGGATTAGAACTATATTTGGAATGAACACTATAACAAAAATATTAAATAATATTAATATTTTCTGATTCAATAAAATTAGCTAGAACAAGAGAGAACGCTATAGTCGAGTGCCTCGACTATTAGATACCCGTTACTCAGCTAAAAAAGTTCAAATTATCAATTTGAATTCGGCGATCTCTTAGAGCTTAGAGTATTATGTATATTAAAGTCTAAATGTTTGCCCAACACAAGTAACGGGTATAGTGAATAGCTTTCTTTGAAAGGAGTTATCTTTGCCTGGCAATTGCAACTGTGTACAATGTAAATACATACATATGTATATGCTTACATACATACACACATACGCCATTGTTTGACTCAGACCTCCAATTTGGCTAACTTGATTTGATTTGCATAGTTCTTGGGATATAGTTCGGTATTGACAAATGAAAACAATCGCAATTTCCTGTAATAGAAATCCTTATCGAGAATTGACGTTGACTCTGTTGAGCACCTTGGCCAGCTGTTCCAAAGTCACCCGTTAGATGGCGCTACCACGGGCCATGAAAGGCGGAGATGTAGGCGCTCGCCAGGCTTAAGCGTTTAATAGGTTTTTGGGCGTTAGAGTGGGCGTGGCAAACTTTTATTAGGCAAATCGATAGGTATTGACGAAACAAATACATATCAAATAAAATTTTCATAATAGCATCAAAACTGTGGCCACAGCTTGTGGCTTGTGGGCGTCAGAGGGTGCGTGGCACCATTTTGAAACAAACTTGCGCTGCGTAGGAACTCCTAAAATCTACATGGAAAATGGCAATCTTCTTGCTTTTATAGTTTCCGAGATCTCAGCGTTCATACGGACAGACAGACGGACAGACGGAGAGACGGACAGACGGACATGGCTAGATCGACTCGGCTAGTGATCCTGAACAAGAATATATATACTTTATAGGGTCGGAAACGCTTCCTTCTACCTGTTACATACTTTTGCACGAATACAATATATCTTTTTACTCTACGAGTAACGGGTATAAAAAGGTCTTCGTATAATTGGGTTATTTTTCAAAAGGAGGGAGATTAGTATATTCACATATCGAATGCACACTGTACTCAGTGTTATGCAAAAATAATATTACAAACACATTGAAGCACTAGACCAGAATATTTAAATATAAATCCAAGTCCCAAGCAGTTACTCAAGTGCCTGGAAATATGACCACAGTTGAGTGTAATGGGCCTAAACAGTGCTAATTCGGCATGTCTGTCATGCGCAAAAGCTCTTTCTTTACGTGAACATAATACCTCCTATCTGCGGCGGCGACTCTTCGTCGTCACTTACTAATATCTATGGTATATTTGCTGCCCTTTGCCATTGATTTTTAAAATATATCTTGGCTGCATTGGAGGCTCAATGGATAATGTTACACAGGGCTATAATAGATTAGAGCAGCTTACATACCACTGCAGATGCTGAAGGAACACTTCGATTGGTTCAACTAGGATGAACTAACCAATAATAGGTAGCATAAAGAATAGAACAACACCAGGACCTGACAATATCCCGATCGAAGCTCTTGAAGAATACCTGATGCGGCTAATACACAGCTATGTACAGAATCGTAAAATGATTTGTCTGACAAAAGTAAGCGAAATGCCTGAAAACGCTGCCATGGCTTACAGATGGCTACCGAAAAAACCGAGCTACTACTAGTCACCAGGAAGCAAATACCCCTGGAGATGAACTTAAGGCTCAACGAGACAATTATTCGGACACAGAATTCCATAAAGTACCGTGGAGTCAGTCTGGACTCAAAACTGAACTTTGGACCGAAACTTAATTAGAGACAACAAGGTCCTTTTGTTAGACTTATGACCTTTTTCTATTAAACTTCCTGTGAACTAGGTGTGAAGGTAAATCGAGTTTCATAAATTATTCTATTAATAGAACTTTTGATTTTTGCGTATCAAAAATAACAAGCAACGGCGGAACAATACTATCCAGGTGAAATCTGTTAATTAATATAAATAATTCCATTTTTCTGTGTGTATAAGAAGTATGGGCCAAATCGCTGAAAACCAATTTCAGATTAAAGACTGTATTGGCTATCCAAAATACGTCCGCTATTCGAATAATGAGCGCATATCGCAAGGTGTCGAGTCCTGCAGCACTCGTCTTAGCATGCTCGTCCGATAGACTTTCTAGCTAGAGAACGTAAGAACGTGTACGATCTCCGAAAATAGGGAGAAGCACCAACACAACCAATTTTGGACCTCAAAAAAGTATCCCTTAAATTTTTTGCTCACGGCAAGGTCCTAAATGCCAAACAGGTTTCGATTTTTAGACGTCCCATCACTGGAAGAAGCCTGTTGCTTGTCGAAGTTTTACTGTACCAAACGAATCTTTGGTTTTGCTGAAGTCAAGAAGTATCCCTTTTCTTTTACTACTTAGAAAACATCTTCAGAATCCTTCATCCTTAAAAAGGCCGTTGTGAATAGAAAAAGAATATAAGTTTATTTTTCGAATCTGGCTGACATTTTTGAGATGCACTTCAGTTATGGGTTTGAAGAGGCAAAGCAAGAGTTGAACGAGTTGGTATTACCAAAAAGCTGGCTAATTTGCTCTTAACAAGAAACGAAGACGAACTCTGAAATTCGAAGACATCAGTATATTTCGAATTATATCCGTATGTAATTATTTTTTCAAAGGATCCCATGGGACCTGTTTCGATTTATAGACAAGGCTAGATCTTCTGCTAATCCTGATCAGGCATATAAATACCTTAAAGGGACGGAAATGTATCCGTCACTGCTTCAAACACTTTTGACTCAAATTGGAATAGCCTCTAAAAGGGTATAACATCAGAATATCTTAAGTTAACTTTAAATTATTTACTTACTCGTGCAGGGCTCAAGGGGAAAAGGTGCTACAGAAATCACAAAATAAAAAGCTGTCTAAAAGTATGTCAATACTGATACAAGAGAATACCCTCAGCGCTAAAAATTTGACCAGTAAACCCACTACTGAAATCATTGACACAAGGTAACCTTGCCGTCGACAAGGAGAGATAATGCAGACAAGCGAATACGAGACATTAAAAGGGCAAGGCCAAAACTAATTCTTAAATTCGTTGCGGACATAAGTACAAGAGATTAATTTATGTATATATGAATAGTTTAAAAACTAGATTAAGGAAAGATACAAAAGGAAGCCTTCGGAAGGTTACAAAAATAAGTGCCGATCTACTAAGAATCAAGAACCCAATGTTTGAAGGGAAATTTTGTAAAGCATAGACCATAATTTGATCCAATTTCATGAATCGTTAATGAAACAAACATTCCATTATTATTTTTTTACTTAATACTTTTACTTACATAAAGCAAACTATCAGGCTAAGTCTTACGTTTTCTCAGAAGGCCGGCTTGTTTTGTCGTCCTTTCTATTTGGTAACAAGAAATTTAGTAAGGTGAATCTCAGACTTTAAATCGTTAACTTACTCAACTTGAATTACCACCAATACGAACCAGAAATAATAGCTTTGCATGCAAATTAACTTTCTCCTTAGTGATTCGGTTAAAAAAATTTATTTTTATTTAATGAACTTCACTTTTCACTAACATTTCATAGGTTGCAGTTAAAATAGTTCACTGCTCCGATCTTATACTTAAGGCAGGATTGCACCTTGTGAGGTCAAAAAAACAATTTTTTTTTTTGCTGTTTCGGATACATACATGTTTCAATTTTACTCTCCTAAAATTTCAAGTCGAAATCTCTTGAATTACGAAAGTTATCGGCCGTTTGGTGGACCGGTGTCAAGCGCGTTGCCATTATAGTGCAAA